CCTCCTCCTCCTCCTCCTCCTCCTCCTCCTCCTCCTCCTCCTCCTCCTCCTCCTCTGGCGGATGCCAGGGACTTGGGGCTCGGGGTGCCCCGCCTCGGCCTCGCCCGGAGTCGCTTTCTTCCAGGCCGTCCTGGGGGGCCTGACGTGAGGGACACGCCTCGACTACACGCAGGAGGGGCCCTAGGCGAGAGTGACCTCTTGTGCGCGGCCACGGGGGGGGACCCTTCGGGGACACATTCAGCGATCGGGGGGCCCCACTGGGCCCGCACCAAAGGGCACCCCGGCGAGAGGTTACTCTTGCGTGGAGTCGGGCCCACCGTCCCCTCGGCGGCCGAGACCCGCCAGAAGCCTGCCACCTTGACCGCTTGCCACGATACGAGGGCGTCGGGGGCCCCCCAGACCCCCGATGTCACGATTCGGCGGCGAGCGAGGAGGAGGAGGAGGAGGAGGAGGAGGAGCAGGAGCAGGAGCAGGAGGAGCAGGAGGAGCAGGAGGAGCAGGAGGAGCACGAGGAGCAGGAGGAGCAGGAGGAGGAGGAGGAGGACGAGGAGGAGGATGACGAGGAGGAGGAGGAGGAGGAGGAGGAGGAGGACGGAGAGATCCACGATTGGAGTTCCACTGGCTTCCAGACCCTGGCTTCCTGATCTAAGGGCTCCTTATCCACTGCCCACGCCGTGCTCCCGCCGGCCTCCGCCGGCCTGCTGGCGGCCTCCGCCGGGTCCCGGTGGGCGAGGGGCGCCGAAGGCGAGGCACTCCTCTCTGGAGCGGAGGAGGAGGAGGAGGAGGAGGAGGAGGAGGAGAGGGAAAAGAAGAGGGAGGAGGAGAGGAGAGAGGAGGGAGAGTGAGGGAGGAGGAGAGGAGGAGGAGGAGGAGGAGGAGAGGAGGAGGAGGAGGAGGAGGACGCGCCCCAGCACAGGGCGAGGCCGGCCCCCGACGGCGTCGGATGTCTGCGCGGGCGGCAGGTGGCGGCGAGCGAGGGGGGAAAGCGAGAAGGAGAGGGCCTGCTCAGAAGGCGGCAGGACTTCTCAGAGGCCGTCGCGCCTTCTGAGAAGCTTGTTGTGTCTTCGGGGAAGGCTCAGAAAACCTCTCGGATGGCCAGGGGACTTCCGAACCTTCTGAGCAGGCCTTCTCCTTCTCACTTCCCCCCCTCGCTCGCCGCCGAATGATTTGTTCATGACGCAACCCCCGGAGGTCCGGACCCCTTCCCCGGGACCGGTTTTTCATCCCGACTCGTTTTTTCACGCTCCCGGGGCCCAGCAAAGGCTTCCAGGGGCCGGAACTGGCGAAACACCCCCTGAGATCCGACGTTGCACACAAATTGCAACAGCGCCAAAATCACGTCCGGAGCCCCCGGCCTCATCTTTCTGCGTCATTTCTCGAGCCCGATCGATCTGTGAGGGTCCTGGGGCCCGAAATCGAGCGAGAACGCCCGTTGCAAGAAAATGGCAACGCCAGGATCTCAGGGCCTCCCGTCATGACTTTGTCACGACGCGAGGGGAGAGCATGCTGCGCATGGAATGAATTCAATGGAAATAAATTGCAGAAGATCCGTGAGTGGATCAATCTAAACTGATGAGGTTATGATGCTCTAGTGGGCCTCCTCCCCCCCCCGTGGAGAGGCGCCGTCTCGGCGTCCAGCCCGACGGCGGCGGCCGTCCACTCGTAGCCGGGCCCGCGCTCGTACCTCGCCGGAGGTGCCCCATCGGTTGTCCAGAGATGGGGTGCGGGGTCCTGGGGACGGGGTGCCCCAAGCAGTGTGTGCATCCACCCTCGGATACCCTCGGATACCCTCTTTAGAGCATCCACCCTTATGGGCACTCTTGTGGACGAGGAAAGCGGCATGGACATGAACTGCTAGCGCTCCGCGCGGATTTCTTGGACCTGTGCTGGACCCCCCCTCCCTGGGCGCGCGGAGCGCGCCAGGGGCGGCGCCGGAGGCGCCGCCAAGGGGGGCCCCAGCGCGGATCAAAGAGATCCGCGCGGAGCGCCAACAGTTTATGTTTACCTATGTAGTTTGTCCTCTTGCCGTCGCTCGGACGTCCATTTCCCGTGCATTTTTCGGTTTAGTGCGTGTTTTTTTTTGCTCGATGGTCCAGGATGGTCCTCGATGGTTCTCGCCGAGAAAAAATGCACACGTCCGAGCGATGCCAAGTCCTTCTTCGATCCTCAGCATGGGGGAAGCGGGTCCCGAGGGAAGCGGGTCCTGGGGCCTCGCCCCAGGACGCGGTCTTCCTCTTTCGGACCGTCCCGCAGCCAGTGGAGGGCCCCGGGGAGCTGAGAACAGCGACGAATCTCTGGACCCGTTTCACTCAGGACCTGCTTCCCCGAAGGCAAACCTTCCTATCCTAGGCAAGCGCGCTCCACTACTCGCAAAGGAACCACTCGCAAACAGCCTGGATCCGATGCATCGATGGAAGGGTGCTCCACTGTACCAAAGCAAACAGGTTGCATTGCACGTTTGCGAGTACAGTGAAAACGTATAGCAAGGACGGGTGATAAGGACGCAAGACCCTTGGAGGCCGAAGTTGGGTTTTTTAGGCCGGCGGGCGACCAGTGATTATGGCAGGGACGAGCCTCAGAGGCAAAGACACAAGGGTACAATATTGGAAGGCGCGCGTCCTTACTAGGCGCGTTGACTGTAGGCACTGTGCGAGTAGTGGAACGCGCTCGGTGTTATCCTTAGGACCCCATCCCTCGGGACCCCATCTTCAAACCGCCGATCCCCCGACTGAAGCTTCGCTCCGAACCCGCTCAGCACGCCCGAGCCCGCGCGCTCAGCTGCCAGAGCTGAGCCCACGAGTCACTGCACCGGCCTTGCAGACGTGCTGCAGAGAATCCCTGCCAATGCCAAACCCCGAAACGGCGAGCGAAAAACGAAGTGAATTTCACGTGGATTTATTGTAGTCTTCATGCCTGGCCCAGTAAAGAATCCGCACAAAATCCACTTCGAAATCCGGCACGAAACTCTCCAGGGCAATCTGCGCCTATCCCACTGTTTTCCGAACGAAATACGCTCTGCGATGCTGGCGAGGCTGCGTCTCTCAGGCAAGCAAGATGCCCATGTTACGGACTGCGTGTCAGCTTCCTCACGAGCCGTATGCTCGAGGCGTTCCAGCTGCGCTGGAGAATGCACTGAGCGGATTCTTCTTCCTAAACGCTGGGCAACACTGGGGAGACCAAAAGGTACCGATACCGCTACTCCCCGGACCTCTCCTGGTGTGTGTGCGCTCTGACCAGGATCTCGAGGCGAGTCCGGCGGTGGCGACGAGGGCCTCCCGGGAGGCCCAAAGAGAGGTACCTGTTCCTCCTCTGAGCCATGACGCGAGAGCTCTCGGGGCCACTCGGCGGCCGAGCGCGAGAACTCGGCCCCCGCGGCCCTGCCGGAGCCGACTCCCCGTGCGGCGGCTCGCTCCGGCGGCCGAGCGGGCTCCAGCGCCGAGTGGGCTCCCACGGTGGGGGGCCGCGGCCGTGTCTGGGGGACGACATCTCAGGACCCAGACATGGTCGCGTCGCTAAAAAATCCGGACGGCAAGATTCTCGCGATGGTCGGCCTCTGGAGGCCCTCGCCGGGCCTCGGGAGCGTCAGAAAGCAACTCAGGGCGGAAAGCTGGTCCTGGGGAAGGGGTCGGGACTTCCAGGGACGCCGCCCTGAAAAAATCAGGGCGTCGCATGTCTGGGGAGGCAACTACTGGGAGGCTTTCGTCGGAAGAATTAGAAAGGATCAAACCCCATTGGGGGGCTCTTGTGCCGGAGTGGGCCTCGGAAACAAGCGGGAGGAAGGATTGAGCGAGGCCGTGCAGGGCGACGAGATCCGGGTAACGAAGCATGACAGAAACATACAAACTCGGAGGTCCGCGCAGATTCCTCGGATCGGCGCTGGGGGCCCCCCGGCGGCGCCTCCAGCGCCGCCCCTGGTGCGCTCCGCGCGCCAGGGAGTGGGGTCCAGCGCCGATCCGAGAAATCCGCGCGGACCTCCGAGTTTGCATGTTTCTGTTATTCTTCGTTCCACTAGAACTCGCCCAACGAGTGGCAACAGCACCAAAAAAAGCTCGAGTGGGGAATCGACTGCAGAATCGATGTGCCCCAAACTTATAATATTCTGCCGTCGACGGAGCGGAACTTGAGCCGCATGCTCCGCAGATCTGCGGGGCCTTTTTTTTTATGTGCATTGTTCGCAGACCCCACGGAAAAACCACCCTGGGGCAAAACGCCTCTGCAGTCAAGCCCCCACCTGGCCATCGCTCGGACGTCCATTCCCTGTGTTTCTGTTTCTGTTTCGTGCGTGGCTTTTCTTCGCAGGATGATCCAGGAGGCTCCTTGATAGTCCCCGCCGAGAAAAAAAAGTGCACACGTCCGAGCGATGCCAAGCCCCTCGAAAGAGCGAGGGCTGGCTTTGTTTTTGGGGCTCCACGGCTGCGGCCTCCGCGCGCCCGGGCTTTGGCCCCTGCCCGTGCTCGCTCGCGGTGCTCTCGCCGTCCGCAGCTGAAAGCAGGCCCTAAGACGGGTGCCCGGCTGGGGAGCCCAAAAGGCTGGTGCCTGGCTAAGACTGGTGCCTGACTGGCCTGACTGGCTAGGCCGGTCCTAAGGCTGGTGCCTTAGCAGGCCCTAAGGCTGAGCCTGACTGGTGCTAAGCCTGACTGGTGACTTAGCAGGCCCCAAGGCTGGTGCCTGGCTAAGACTGGTGCCTGACTGGCCTGGTGCCTGGCTAAGGCTGGTGCCTGGCTAAGACTGGTGCCTGACTGGTGCCTAAGACTGGTGCCTGGCTAAGACTGGTGCCTGACTGGTACCGCTACTCCCCGGACCTCTCCTGGGGCCATGCCGCTCCCATCGCGCTTAAGGACCACATCCCAGGAATAATCTCGAGCACCCAGAAGCATCGGAGCAGCGTCGAACGAGTATCGCCTCCCGGGGCCCGACACGTGAAAAGCCCCTGGTCTCCGCATTTCCTCGGTGATCGACACTCTTTCTGGTGATCAAGGCTAAAGCAGGTTGCACCATCATAATCCTGGGGTGCGTTCTGCCCAGGATTTCGAGGCGAATCCAGCGGTGGCGACGAGGGCCTCCCGGGAGGCCGAAAACGGTGCGAGGGTACTACCCTCGCCCCGTTTTCCCCTTGTTCGGTAGGAGGAGAAGGAGGAGGAGGAGGAGGAGGAGGAGGAGGAGGGGGAGGAGGAGGAAAAGGATGAGGAGGAGGAAAAGGAGGAGGGGGAGGAGGAGGAGGAGGAGGAGGGGAGGAGGAGGAGGAGGAGGAGGAGGAGGAGGAGGAGGAGGGAGGAGGGAGGAGGGAGGAGGAGGGGTGGCCTGGTAGGTGGTCAGGGGCGATCCGATGCATCTCGATCGCTGATATCTGGCTTGTCGACTCGATGTTGAGCTCTCCTGGACGTGGGGCCCAGGGGCGAGAGGGGGAGGAGGAGGGGGAGAAGGGGGGAGGGAGGAGGGAGCACAGGAGGAGAGAGGAGAGAGGAGGGACAGAGAAGGGAGGAGGAGGAGGAGGAGGAGGAGGAGGAGGGAGGGAGAGGAGAGAGGCGGAGGAGGGAGGAGGAGGAGGAGGAGGGGAGGAGGAGGAGGAGGAGGAGGAGGAGGAGGAGGAGGAGGAGAAGGAGGGAGAGGAGAAGGAGAAAGAAGAAGAAGAAGAAGACTACTGGCCATACCGCTACTAGCGGTATGGGCACCTCTTCCTTCCCCCTCTAACTAGCACGCGACCGCCGGGCTGCTGAGGCGGGAAGACATCCAGCGGGTCCTCTCTCGCCCCACCTTTCGGCCTCGGCCTTGCCACGGGGGAGGCCCGCTGCGCGCGGCCCCCGCCCGTGGGGGCAGGGCCGTCCAAAAGAGGAGCGGCTCGGGAGATGTGGAAGGCCAACCCCGCCCGATGGAGCGGGGGGGGCGCCTCGGGGCCGTCCAGGAAGCTCAGCGGGAGGAGACGACCCCTTTAGGGGAGGAAGTCGAGAGCCCTGGGGCCCCACGCCCTTTTCCTCCTTTGCCTCCCCCTCCTCCTCGTCCTCCCCTCCTCCACCATCTTCCTCCTTCCTCCGTCCTCCTTCTTCCTCTCCCTCCTTCGCCTTCCTCCTTCCTCCCTCCTCCTCCTCCTCCTCCTCGTGACCTCCTCCTCTCTCTCCTCCGCCTCCTCCAACTCCAACTCCTCCTCCACCTCCACCTCCTCCTCCTTCTCCCTCTCCTTCCCTCCTCCTCCTCCCTCCTCCTCCTCATCCTCCTCCTCCTCCTCCTCCTCCTCCCTTCTCTGTCCCTCCTCTCTCCTCTCTCCTCCTGTGCTCCCTCCTCCCTCCCCCCTTCTCCTCCTCCTCCTCCTCCTCCTCCTCCTCCTCCTCCTCCTCTCGCCCCTGGGCCCCACGTCCAGGAGAGCTCAACATCGAGTCGACAAGCCAGATATCAGCAATCGAGATGCATCGGATCGGCGGACATGGGCAGCCGAGTCGGCCTGAGAGGGGGGGGGGGGGGCTCGGGGCCGTCAGGAAGCTCAATATGAAGGGACGGCCCCAGGGACAGAGAGGCTGAGAGCGCGCTGCCATCGGATCCGGGGACCCGGGCCCCGAAGAGGGCGGCGCGGCGGGGCCTCGGCCCTCAGGTCGAGCAGCAGGTGTCCACGGCCTCGGAGCATCGTTGTCGCTGTCCTCCAGGACGGCGCCGGTGATGCGGTTGAGAAGGTGCCCACGACAGAGCCCAGTCTGCCCAAGAGGCGGCCCCGGGGAAGGGGTCGCGAGACCTGGGCCCCAAGTCTCGAGACGTTCGAGGCGCGGGAGGCCGAGTCTTCGGAATCTCCTCGAGGTGTGCAGAGACCTCTACCTCTCGAGGCCTTCAGAGGCCACCGCAGGCCGCCAGAAGCCTCCCAAGACATCTGGAGGCCCCCGAGGCCTCAAACGGAGAGAGAAAAAGAAGCCCTGCTGGCGTGGACCCCAGACAGAACGTTCGCGCACTGTGGGTGTGGAAGCTATTTAGTTCAAGCTACACCATGAAATCTACGTGGTGCAAGCTGTGTGATCCAAGCTATGTGGTGCTATCTATGTGGTGTAGGCTATGTGGTGCAAACTATGCTGTGCAAGCTATGTGGTTCAAGCTGACCGCTAACCCGTGAGAATAAACACTAGGGGATAATAAAGTTCGGGGTTCAGGGGGAGATAATCAAAGTAGCCCAACAGACCTCAGCATAATCTCGAAGTAAGAGATGATCAAGAGGAGACCAAGCCGAGCACGTTTTGAGACATCCTTGGCGTTTAGTCTTCATAGAAATATCCTCAACAATGGCTTATCTCGCTGGAGACATCCTCGACAAATCCCTTGTTTCGCTTGAGACATCCACAAACTATTGCTTGTTTCGCTTGAGACACCGTCAAACTATTGCTTATTTCGCTTAAGAAAGGCGGAGAAATGGAGAAAGCGATATACAAAAACACAAATAAAAAGAAACAATAAGAAATGAAAAAGAAAAAGGAAAAAATCAAAAAGAAAAGAAAATAGAGGAGGAGGAGAAAGAGATGGAAAAATCTCAAGTTCAAATGTATTAGATTTTATTTACAAGCGCTTTATGAAAATTAAAATGTTTTAAGTGCTCGTGTAGGGTAGCTCATGTGCTTCATTTTCCATGGATAATCAACCCCAGGGATAAAAAAGTTCAGAGGGGGGGGCATGGAGAGAGAGAGAGAGAAAGAGAGAGAGAGAGAGAAAGAGAGATACATCATAAAGAAAAAGAAAGGAAGGACTTAAAGAGAGAAAATATATTTTAAAAAAAGTAGAATAAGAAATGAAAAGGATAAAGAGAAGAGGAAAGGAGGATATGACAAAAATCTGAAGATTCAAATGTATTACATTTTATTTACATGCGCTTTATGAAAATTAAATTTTTTAAGTGCTCGTGTAGGGTAGCTCACGTGCCTCGTTTTCCCTGGAGAATCAACCCCAGCGATAAACAAGTTCAGGGCGCCAGGGGGAGGAGGAGAAAGAGATAGAGAGACAGAGAGAGAGAGACAGAGAGGCCAGGAAGGAGAAAGAGATAGAGAGACAGAGAGAGAGAGAGAAAGAGAGACAGAGAAAGAAAGAAAGAAAGAGAGACAGAAAGAACTACAAAGAGACAGAAAGACATTGGTTTCGCTTGAGACATCCTGAAACAACGTGTTCGCTTCGCTTGATGTTGTTATCTCAACATAAGAAGGAAGTAACTTCGATGGCGAACTTTTCCCGTGATAATGAAGTTCGGCCTCCGCGCCCCCGCGCCCCCGACCAAACTCTTATTGGTCGACGATAATCAACTCTAAACACTGAAGGGGGGGGGATACATTATTATCCTCGGCATGCGGTTATTTGGTGCAAGCTGTGTGGTGTGGCGCAAGACTTGTGGTGAAAGCTATGCGGTGCAAGCAACGCGGTGAAAGGCAGTGATGCAAGCTATGTGGGACAACGTATGTGAAACAAACTGAGTGGTGCAATATATGCGGTGTGAGCTATACGGCGTAATGTATGTGGCTCGAGGTGCATGGTTTAAGCTGTAGGGAGCAAGCTATGTAGTGAACAATGTGTGGTGCAAGTTATATGGTGCAAGCAGTGTGGTGTAAGCTATGTGGTGCAAGCTGTGTGGTAAAAGGTGTGTGGTGCAGGCGATGGCTATGGGGTGCCAATTCGTGCAAGCACCGTTTTGGGAAACCGACCCTCGACGCTCTTCGAAGTACACGGCCGAGCGACGTCCAAGACCCTCGATCCTCGACCCCTGGCCACGCAAGGAGGGCATGCGCACCGATCCTTAGCCTATACAGGGCTGGGCCACGACCGGTGAGGCAGTGAGCTGGATTCTCCCGCGGAGACGGCCGAAACCTCCCAAGAACCCTGACATCCGCCGACGCGACTTCTTGGAGCCGCTCCTCTAGAACTCTCGGCCCCTTCGCCGGGAACAGTCTCTCGCGCCAGCTGAAAAAAATGTGATCGTCGGAGATCTGGGAACGAAGGATTGCAAAGGGTTTTTTTTTTTTGTTTTTTGTTTTTTTTGTTTTGTTTTTGTTTTTTTGTTTTTTTTTGGAATCCTCGCCCTCCGCGGGGCACACGGCCGAGTGCACGCACAGGGCGTCGCACAGCGGGCTCGTCACTGAGACGGCCGCGAGCGCCCACGCGGCCAGCACGTCCGGCCACCCCTCGCAGAGGGCCAGGTGGACGGCGGCGGGCACTTGGAGGCACCGCGGTGGGCCAGCCGCCCAGAGAGCCGCGCCCACTTGGAGGCCACCCAGGTGGGGTCGCAGCAGATGGGGTCGGAGGATGGCGCCGCACCGCCGACGCATCGCCTATGTGTGCATCGCCGATGCATCGGCGATGCACCGGCAGAGTCGGCGGTGCCTCGGCGGCGTCGGCGCGGAGGAAGCTGGGCATCCACATCGAGCCGCAGCGCTGGTGCATCGGCGACCCGTCGCGAGCCTCCGACCCCGCCCACTCCCACCCCATCTGGGAGGCCTGGACAGCCACAGTAGGTCTGGGCCCCGAATCATCAGGGGCATCGGGTTAGGGCTAACTCGGGCTCGTGTTTCGGGAATCCGAACCCGAGTTACCCCGGGCCCGAGTTACCCTGGATCACTCGGGCGCCCAAGTAGGCACATAAAAGGAGAACCTTGCTATGAGAACTCAATGGGCACGTCCCTCCTCAACTCTGAGCTTCACACGGTGCCCACCGGCTCAGCGCCCCCATCGGGAGATAAGAAATTGTCCTCCTATTCCTCCTCCTCCTCCTCCTCCTCCTCCTCCTCCTCCTCCTCCTAGTCCTC